CATGATTACAAGAACCATAGAAATCATAGAGGATACCAGTTCTGCATCTGCCTAATTAAATTGCCAGAAAGGATGTACATATTTTTCCAAGTGACTTGCTGATTCTATTGCTTTTCCCATTTCCTCGCTGCCTCTTTAAACTGCTGTTTAATGTATGGCCCCACTTCTGTTTTGTGTCGCATAATTACCAATGCCAGGATAATTACGGCAACGCCAGGCTGGCAGGCCACACATAAAAAGGACAACGAGTCCTGGATGCGGGTCCCGACTCCAGGGACTCCACTTTGGTATGTGGAGTGGAACGGACGGAAGTGGGTGGACTCGGGTGGTGGGGTGGTTCAGTGGTGCGAGCACGTGACGAACGGTAATGGCACGCCAAATCACAGGAGAAATGAAATGTTTGCCGGTCGGCAGTGCTCGGAATTCCAAATGCGAAGCGAGTTTTCAGGAAGTGGATTTTTCAGCCGAGTTTCCTTATTGTATTAGGTTAAAAAAGGGATATACATTCAATTAATGTTTAATAGTGTTTAAACTAAATGGTCTGTATACATTCAACCTTTAACTATTTCAATTTAAATGATACCACTTAAGTTTTTTGTGTTCCTTGTGCTTCAACTAACCATTTGACTCAATTAATGCAGAAGCATGTCCTGTTCAGCTTAAATTTCAATTATACGGAGTTCAGTGCCTGAAAAGAGATTTCGTTTTCGTGGCAACTTATGATCCTCCACGCGAAACTCCTGCATAAACTCCACTTCAGCTGAGACCCCGCTTAACGCTCGTCCACGAAACCTTAGTTGAAAGTGATTAAGGCTCACGTTTCGGGATTACGTAAGCTCCTACAGGGATACTTAACCATCTGCGCCCCTCAGCATTTATATATAATTTGTGTGTGGATGTGTGTGTGTGCGTGCGTTTGAGTGTGGGTGTCTGTTGAGCATATCATGTGTTTATGAGATTCCTGAAACGAACACCCCCCCATCCCACTTCGTCTCTAAACCATTCTACCTGGGCTTTCGGGGCGTCCCCTGACACGTGAGCTCCATAAAAAGGCAAGAAGGCCTCGTCATTTCATGGACGTTGCAGCACGCGAGGGGTCCCCTGCCCCGTCCCTCCTCCTTTCCAAGCGCTCCCCTGGATTTCGTGAAAAACGCCGCCCGCCGTTTTCACTTTTGTTCGGATTTTCCTTGCCGCTTTTCTCCGCTGCGTAAACACAGCTATTAAATGCGGACTGACCCCAATGCTGACCGACTCTGCTAGCTATCAACTACAGTTTGCATTCGATAAGGCGGTCTCTAGATGATAGAATGCTAATAAAAAAGGTGCTGGTGCGATTTAATTAAATAAGGTCAAAGGCCCCTCAAATTATTAAGAATTATGAAGCTTATTTATAATCGTGTTACTATGCGGACGTTCTTTATTGATCGTGATTATTTTTTAGCCCACCGAAATTTGATAAATGTATACTTTAAGTTTACCCAAAATCATTCTAAGAATTTGCCATAAATATTGGGGGCACATCGATGAATTGACCGCTTTACAAGTAGTTGATTTATGGTCTGTATTTAATTATCCCTTGGCCCTTTCTCTTTTGGCCGTAAACGTCGGTGCAACAACCTCGTTTCGCCGACCTTGAACCAGTTTCATTTTTAAAAATTTCCAGCAGGGGGAAAGTCAAGGGGGCGCACTGGAAGGGAAAGCATTAGAAGACTTGGCCAACTAAGAACTTTTGCACATATCTCGGCATATTAATAAGGCCCAAAGCGTCTAACGGCCATTTAATTGCAGGCACATACGCACACAGAGAGGGCACATGTGTGGGTGGGATAAGATGAGGTTCTATGACAGCAAACTAAAAATAAACAAATGAGCCAAGCCAGAAACACGGAAAAATTGAAAGACGAGTTGAGGCTGCTGAAGAGCGCCTGCGTGGAGGGAAAACTAGTGAGAGCGCTGAGGAGGAAAAACAGCCAGAGAGACGGAAAGAGAGGAAAAGCGAGAGAGCCACCGCAGTTATTGTTGTGGCTGCCACAGGAGTTCAAGGAAGTGAAATAGCTGCAGACTGAGTTTTTCACAGACAAAGTTTCCTATCTGCTTCCTATCCCCCCTCCCCGTGCCGCTCCTCTTCTTCTTGCTGGCTTTTCCCTGTTGTCACTTCCTGTGAATCTGTGCGTTTGTGTGAGTGTGAACGTGTGAGATTCAAAACACTCAGTATTGAGAACTGAAAATAATAGATTTTGGGTTTGATTTCTATAAAATAAATAGTTTGCAATCAAATATTACGTACTTCAATGGTATCAATTAGGTGTTATATCAAATAGGTGTGTTTAGTCTCAAACTTGCAAAGTCGTCGAACCTAATAAATAATAATTAGCTATCGTTAATTACAGTAATGTCCTTCTAGCAGCATAACCTTATATTACAGTTATTAATAAATGTTGCGTTCATTACTCGAGGTAATGAGGTATCAATTATAAAAGTTAGGCATATGATTTCCTATTATTATCCGTAAACAAATTATGAAATAAAAAGGGCAGAACTATATTGATGATTGTGCTTTATTAAAAGGATTTCTTATTGAAACCAAGCAATAACACGTTGCAGATTAAATCGAAATATTTATTTGTATCCAAGTACAAACTTAGGCTGAAGAAATAGAATTTCTTTTTGTATTTAGCAGTGAACTTGGTTCAATTGAACCAATTCAGATGGTGAACCTTGCACCAACACACACAGACTAGCTCGCACACATACACAGTCTCGGATAGTCCGCTCTCATAGTATCCTTTCTCTGCGGCTGTGTGCGTGTGCGTGTGTGTGTGTGGGGCCTAAAGTGTTATATTGACATTTGGCTACATAATGATTTATGCTGCTGCAGGAGCCGAGCGATCCTTGCTCCTTGTAATTCCTGCTGCTATTTTTAGGGGCACGGCCATAATTTATTTTTATGTACAAGCAGCAGCGCCAGCAACAACAACAGGAAGGAGGCAACTACATACACGCGCACACACACACATACACACACACTCGAAGAGAGATATATTTTTGTGGGCAAGCGAAGGGCAAACGCTGGAAAGCATGCTACGATTTTTGTGTGGGAGCTGGGTGGCCTGTTTGGGGGGCTGACGGGGAGGGGGTGGAACGTTCGTGTATACAACTAGTTAAATAAATTTACACTTGACCCACCTATTTATTTTCCAGCTGTATGTATTTTTATACTTTTTCTCCTCCGAATGCGCGGCACGTTTCTGCTTCCTTTATTTTTTGGCCAGCAAAATCTTTTGAAAATTGCCTGTGTTCTTATGTGTGCACATCTGCGTGTGATGGTGTTTGTGTGAGTGGGTGGCGGGGGTGGTGATGATGGTCTTCCTCTTCTGCCAAACCTAATATCAGTTCATTCATGGGCCAACATCAGCTTTCAGTTTTCCTTTCGACTGTGTGTGTATGAAACGGGAAGCTGCCATTTTATTTGTGATTTCCAGGTTTCGTTGCTCTGCAAAATTTCAGCTTTTTTATTTTTTAAGCTGTATTATACTCTTCCTCGTTTTTATTTAACACGCGCAGCAAAACAATTTTCATTTTCACACACTCGCACGAAAATCATTACTCAGTATGCACGGGTTTCCACGGGCTTTTCATTTGCCAACCACCGCGCCCCTTGCCCCTCGCCCCATCATTTGGGCCATTCTGCCTTCACTGCCTTTCAACATTTGCTAAAACACTCACACATTCGCACGGCGGAGATATTATTGGGGCGGCTGGGAGGGGGCGTGGCTGGTCGGGGGGCGTGTGAATGCAAAGCAGCAGAACGAACGTCGAAACAACGCGACACCAACACAGGAACGAGAGCGAGGAAAGTCCGGAAAACCAACGAACCGACCGCGTTGAAAGCCAGCAAACGACTGAGCTCCAAAGCCCCAAATGGAAACTGAGAAAGGAGAGAATGTAATAGTCAGAGAGAGGACAGAGAGAGGGAGAGAGAGAGAGAAAGAGAGACTTATCCTTTGCAGAGGCGACAAAAGTTCGCGGAACCAGCTCAGAGAGCCACCAATACCACCAAAAAATGATATACAAAAAGTTATAAACAATAATTTTATTATTAAAGCATTTAGGTTTATTTAATTTTATAACCAATCTTATTTAGGTATATGCTACTTAATGTTTCAAATCATATAAATTCAAGTTTGGGTGGTATATAAATATTAACATACAACAATATTTTGGAAATCATTAAGTATGATCGCGAAAATTTGTTAAAAATTTATTTTTTTCCTTAAATAAAATATATATTCCCACCAGCTAAAACTATTATAAAACTCGATTTTAAATAGAACAGAACTCCCGCTTCGATTTGAAGCCCCCAAACATAAACATTTTGATAACGAAATTGATTACGTTTCAATTTTGCATTGCAGTGCAAGTAAAAGAGCGAGTGCCTTCCATTTGCTGATAAGCCGCTCAACAAAACAAATCTCACGCGAAGCTTCGTCCCCAATGATCAGTTGTATTCGAAACTTTGGGAGACGCGAACGTGGGAGCTGCTGGAAAAAACCAAGACGGATCGAAGAATCGGAGGTGTACATACTATAGTGCAGCTCAAATACAGATTGCTTAGAAGGCGGCTTCTGTAAGCTATTAATCGGCAAAATGGAAAGGTAGAACTAGGCAGATCTTGAATGATTGATTAAAATAGGAAAGCACCTAACACATACCTCCCAGTTTCTGGCAGGAACTGAAATCGCTGCTGAAGACCCTGTTCTGCTTTGTGGTTGCTCTGATGCTAGTGCCTTTACTGCTGTTATCATTCCTGTGTAAGTGCTCGACATACATCCCCTGCAGTGATCGATGATCGGCGATCGGCGATCCGCGACACGCGCTGCCCCACTGATAAGCCGCATAAATCAATAACTTCAAAAGGGGCCGGCCATATAAATAAACGATCCATGGGTTGATTAACCGATTCTCAGTCAGCCAAAGGATCATTAAGATCAGAAAGGATCATGGCTGGCGGAAACGCAAGCCAAACAGAAGAGATAGAGGACGCTAAGAGAGCGAAAAAAGCGGAGAAGGAAAGTGAGAGAGTCGTAGAGAAAGTGGTGTTGATAAGGTTTTTGTTTATAAATAATACAGATTACCTGTTGCACCTTTGCGGAACCCAGACAAGCGACCGAACGAACCTTGACCAACTGAATTACTCATAAAAATTTCACCATTGATAAGACCAGTCTTCGCTGCTTGATACCCGCTAATCGTCGGGGATGATGCCGTATAGAAAAGTCTTGTGCTTGATTAGGTTTAACGAACTAGGAGCTAAAACAATCTGGCTACCGAGACATCAATTCAATTTAAATTTAAATTCAATTCAAGCGCGCTGATTATTATTTTTCGCCATCTACCTTTCTAATATAGGGTATCAAGTATGCGGGAATCTAGTTGCTACTCATTGTTTAAACATATTGTTATTATTTACGTTATTGGCTTCTTTGATGTTATGACTTTAATCGCAGATTTGAATACAACAGTAGAGGTGGCAAGTCAGCTATTAAATTTCGGCACTTCTAATCCCAATCCATATTCTCAGGTGCTCACTTTGGCAACGAACTTTCCAACTATGTGCTGAGCATCAAGTACCCGAACCTGACCATCTCAAAGTCCAAGAAGATCCGGACTTTAATCGACACGCCGAAGAATGCGGGCGTATTTCACTTCCTGCTGCAAGTGGAGGGCAACTGTGACTTCGAGAGGATACGGATGGCCTATGCCCAGAATCTAACTGATCTGCGGGACAAGACTGGGATACTCAGGTTCCCCAAGCTGCGTCAAAAACTCGTCACCTGTTGGGGGCACTATGCGTGGGTGAACGATAGCAGGTGGGTGCTCCACAGTGCACTACCATGATAGATTCAAATGACAATTATCTTATTGCAGCGGGTTCAACATCAACAACCACGTCCTGCTCAGCACCCACAAGTACCGAGGTCGTCCAGTTACCGAATCGAATATTCAGGAGTATGTCAGCGAGCTGGCCACGAAGTACATCCCATCAGATCTTCCCCAGTGGCAGGTGATTGTGATCCCAAACTCGGATAGCACTCAGCCCTACTACATACTCATCAAGCTACACCACCTGATAATTGCCGAGGAGGAGGATCTGCATGTGAGTGAGATGCTTCTGCTGCACGATCCACACAAGAGAACCATGATGACTCTAAGCGATGGATTGGGGGACAACTCGAATCCAAAACTTTCCCGCTTTGTGCGAAAGCCGGAACACATCAGCAGACTCATCAATCACATAATCCATCTTGTCATTTGCCGTTGGCAAAAGTTCATCTACGAATTTGAATCTCTGGAAACTCCCGATGGCTCCACGTCCAGTAATCAGGTTGGAAACCTAAGTCAGTTGGCTTCTTTGGTCGTAATTGTCCTGGTAAATGTCATCTTGGGCTATATAAGGAGTCGAACTATGCTCAAGAAACTTAAAAGGCGTTCAGTCAGCTACCGAAATGAAGTGGGTCGTTTTCAAACTGTGCGATTGCTTCTGAATAGGGAGTTAGAGCAAAGAAATCTGAATTGGTGGGTGGCCAGAAATGCGGTGTATAAGAGCTTGCAGCCAACTAATTTGGCAAAGGTCTGGACACGTTTCCTTTGGCGACTAAATCTAAATCACGTTTTGCTCTTACCCTACCACATTTACTGCGAGTGCTTGGCTTTCGGTGATGTTTTGATCAAAGGCAAAACTTCGTATACTTCAACCTATTGTGCCAGACTCCACTTGTACGTACCCCTTCTACTTTACGCTCAATTGGAGTTTTTCAAAATTATCTGGGAGCTTTTCCAGGCCCCACGAAACATTTACGAAGTGCTATTCGAACAGCCCACAAAGGAGTTAAATATTTTGCATAAAAAGTCCTATGCAGGCAGGAAAATAGTCTCCTTTGGGCGATCAATAGATGGCGCCCAACTAAGGACCAGAAATCAGGGTAAATTCAATAGTGATCTCCGAGAATCAGACTTTAGCTTAACTTGCTTGGCAGGGGCCGTTCACGATTACTTTAATACATTCTCGGGTGACTTGAAAGTCCCCAATTACTTGAACACCACTTGTAGGACCATAGATAAAGGATACTTCACAGATCGCAGTGGGGATAAATCTGAAAATATTGGGGGTGTAGTCTTTTTGCAACTGCCTCTAAGGCAACCAGACGCAAATCACACCAAAGAACTCCATCAGATTGTTGAACGAATCAGAAAGCAACAGATCATTATATATTTAGCTTCTATTGGACAGACAAAGTACAGCCTACTCACATCCCTTTTGCCTCATGTTATCACAAAAATATTCATCAACTTTTTCTCATACAACTTTCCCATCACCATCACTGAAATCTACGGTGCCACTGCTGAGTTTCAAGCGGCCTGGGGTCAGAAAGTCCAGGATGTTCTTCTCTTCCGGCCACCACAATCGAAGACCTGTCTTTCCCTAAATCTCCATCGCTTTGGAGACAAGTATAGACTGGCTGTGATGGCGGATACCCACCTGGCCCCCGATCACACAGTAATTACCAGATCATTCGAGCAATATATGGAAACAATTACTCTGTAATACGAAAGAATCTTGCCTCTACTTTTGAAGTGAAGGGGAATGTATATGCATAACTTATGAGAAATAAAAACTATTTATCCAGTAGTTCAAAACTGCTTTAAGCTCGTAGCTTTAAGCTTAGACTTAGTCTAGTACTCGGGGTTATACATGACAATTTAAAATATAACATTTGTAAGCCCTAAAAACCCTGTAAAATTACCCTAATCTTGGACTATGGACAAGAACAATAAGTGTTGTAAGCAGCATAAAGACCATGGGGCGCCAAATCCACCAGTGAGTCTATAGAATTAGAAGGTGTAACTTTAATAATTGCCATGTATTTAATGCAGCCACTCAATGCCCAAAAGCAGATTAAATGTAGGGACCTGGAATGCCGTTCGCGTAAGGAGAGAATTAAATCTACAGAGAATATGCCTAAGTTCTGCAAACATTATTGTACAACACATAAGCACCAGAAAAGACAGGAAAATCATTGCGATCATAAAAAACATTCTTGCAAAGATCATGAGTCCCCCTTTAACCACGAACAGCGCTTTCATCGTGCTCAAAATTCGTTTTCCAAAAACTATTCCAATGTTAATTATCAACCGGACCAAAATCAACAGGTAAGCACTTTGATGTGTTTTGACTTTAATTTTAAATACCCTAACTAAACGTAGTGTCAACAGCAGTCGAAATTAAAGGTAGAGAGGCAACCGAAACAGCCAATTCGTCCAGTATCTTTGCTTAATGATAGCAAAAAGCAGAGGCCAGTCATTGAAAAAGGCGGCGGGGACTGCCTCCTCTATAAGAATCTGAGTTTTGAAGCGCACCCATCTAGTAAAAGTGAGCACGTTGAGGAAGAGGGTGGTAATGTTAAGGAACCTCCACTTCGGTTTAGCCACCAAAAGCAAAAAAAAGACTATCTTGAAGCGGCCAAGGCTCATTGCCAGGCTGTTGGCGAACGATTCCAGAGGAAGTTCCCTCCTTGCAGTAAGGGTACCTCCTCCAACGAATCCAAATCCAAACCGTCCAGAGTTACAGTGATCAGTGCGAAGAGCGGAGACGATCTCAGAGCAGCAGTTCGGTCTCAAATAGAAGTCCAAGAGGCCTTAAGCGCGTTTGCACTTGAAGTGAAAGATAAAAGAGAGGAAGTACCACCCGAAGAGAAATCCAGTGGCGTGCCGAAAAAGAGCAGAAGAATTACGTCCGAAACGATAACTGAGAAAACAGTAGTTCCAACTGTTGGGAATTCCCTATTAAGCATTTTAACGCCAGACGATCTAGAACTCGTAAATCTAAGTGACAGTTCTAATGAAGTAGCTGTTACTAAAATACTTGATCCGGTTATGAGAAACATTCAACGCATGTATCTGAACACTCTGAAAGACGAAATGATCCTCATGGAGTATCTGGCTAAGGTCCCGACATTAATTAAAAAAGTTTATAAGCAACCAACCGAAGAAAAGGAGCAAAAAACACCAACGGAATCTTAAAAGCACATTTGAATTATATTTATGTAATGTTTATATATTTTATCAGTAAAATATTATAAAAGGCAGTAGCAAATGATCTCAGTCAAAATAGAAAAGATGCGCTGAACAATTTAAAAGTTCTTTACATTAATAAATTTACATAAGAGCATTACCAACTGTACAATAAATTAATTTAAACGCCGCGCCGGATAAGTATCGCCCATAGATGGCGCACTTCAATGCTGAAATCGATGTTTCGATATTTCCATCGATTTTTCATTAACAACCTCGCTACGCGGGTTGCCGCTAGGTGGCGCAATACATAGCACTGTTTATAGACCAGTGCTCACAAACGCTCTACATTTGAAGAGTAGAGTTGAAAAACGACAGTGCGCGACGGCTTCTAGAACAAAAAAAAAACTATTCGCGAATCGCTGAAAACGCCGCTGCGGAAATTCTGCCAGTCGCATGAAAATCCCGTGGAAGAGGGCGCGGGTGAAGTGTAAACGGAGCGTAAGATAAAAGACACGGCTAGCTGAGAGGCGTCACGTAGACGGCCGACTGATCGATATTCAATACAGGCGTAGGGCAACACACGCACACACACCCATACGCGCGTGTGTGTGCCACTACACACACGAACACATGGAGAACACTCGAGGTGGCGAAAATAACGTAGAATTGGCGAACGGCGGCAAGGAATCCCCGGAAAATGCACGAAAACCGGAGGAGAAGCCTCTAGAAGGAGCGGGCCGAGCCACCGAGCAGCGGGAGACGTCTGAAAAGGGCGTAAGCAACGGGGCGGTAGTGGAAAACAACAACGCAAATGCCCGCGGAAATGCCAGTCCAACAACTACAAGCGCAGAGGGAGGAGCAGCAGCAACAAATACACCAGTGGAACCAGCAGCAGCAACAACTACAAACGGCAGCACGTTACCCACACAACAGCAACAACAACTGCAGTCAGGCGATGGGAACCCAAGTAACCCAACAACAAATGCAATTACATTGCTGGCAGCAGCTGAAGAGGAACAAGCACCAGCATCATCGGCGGCAAAAACAACAGCAGAGGCACCCACGGCAACAACAACAACTGCATCAACAACCGCCTCGGCAGAGACAACAAAAACAAGCACAAGTTCGGACGAGAAGACAGGTAAAGTAAAGCGAAATTCGCAGAACACGAATCCAATGTCAACTAATGTGATTTGCCCTCCCACCATCTCGCCAACGCCGCCCGCAGAAGAGCACAACCACAAAAGAAAGAAGAGAGATAAGGAGCGGGCTGAGGACAAGAATCGCCGCAGCAGCAACCACAGCAGCAGCAGCAAGGATCGAGACAAGGACAAGGAGAGGGAGCGGGACAAGGAGCGGGAGCGGGAGCGCGACAGGAATCGCGAAAGTAGCTCCAAGTCCTCCAAGGAGGCCGACCACAAGTCCAGCTCATCGCGCAGCAAAGAGAAGAAGTATCACCGCAATGACAGGGACCGGGAACGCGAAAGGGAGCGCGATCGGGAGAAGGTGAGTCCAGGAACGGATCCGAAAGTGCAGATAGCAAACGGACACGGGAGCATAATTTGTTGGACAACTCGCTTGATTGCCCCAAACTTCAAACTAAGGTCGTTTCATTTCCAGAACTTGAATTTCGTATAAAAGTAAAGTTAAATTTCCAGTGTAACTAGGGCAGTTGCGAATAAAACTATCGTCATGAAGCTACCACCCATTTACTCACATTACTACAAACAAATCGCTGATAGCAAGATACGTGATGTTGAATACAGCGAGTCAAAATTCTCAGAACCTTTTATATTTGATGCGTGCCTATAATATATTTTCACAGTTTACATAGTGCTAAGTAAACCGTAGCAGCCTCTACAAGATTGCACATCTTTCCATCAAACCAGAAAAAACCAAACACTTCTAACTTATATTTTCCAGATTCCTTCCTCGTCGTCCAGCTCATCCTCGCACTCGAATCGACGGCGAAGTTCTGACAGCAGCCGGAGCAGTCAGAACAGCTCTTCCAAGTCGAAGGAGCCGGGGGCAGATCCTGTTTTGCCTCAGGCGGTGGTTGTTGCTCTCGAGCAGCAGGTTAAGGTGGAGGAGGTCATCAAAAAAGAACCGATAGAAACCAAACTAGAAGTGGAAGCAGAACCATCACCAGTACTTAGTAACCTCATTAAAACTGAAGCGGAAATTAAAACGGAATCAACGGAGAAGCCAAACAAACCTCTAGTAAATGGCGAGGCGATAGCGAAAACACGAGATGAGGTTTCCAGACAGCTCAATTTCGGAGACAAGGGCTCCAGTTCCAAGCTTATGCCCTCCCCGGCACAGAAAAACAGTTCGGGATCGAACTCCACGGCCAGCAATCATTCCTCCAGCCAAAGTAGCAGCAGCCGCAAACCCTACTTATCTTCTTCGTCCTCTTCAACCTCCAACAACCATCACAAGAGTTCCTCGTCGTCATCTTCTCGCCACTCTTCATCGTCATCTCGGGAGTGCTCCAAGTGCTACAAGCGCTCCAAGATTCGGCGGACCAGCGTGGGCGTTCAGTGCTTGCAGCATGCACCAGCAACTGGACCCTGGCAAACTGTTCAGAGCCTGCCGCCAAGGCCCAACCGAAATCCACCGGCTGGCTTGGAGAACCTAAAGTACGGCTGCTACTTCCAGGTGGAGCAATATCCAAATGGCGGGGCCTCTATTGTTCACCTGTACCAGCATGAAATCGACGCATTGTCGCCAGAGGAAATGGAGGAGCTGGTGGATGAATTCTTTGAGGTGTGCTTTGCCGAAGATGAACAAGGGTATGCCCACCATGTGATGGGTATTGTCCACGATGCCGCGAGGTATTTACCCGATCTCCTCGAGCATATGGCCGAGAACTACTCAACGCTGACAGTAAAGGCGGGTGTTCTGGGAAGAAATTCCGACATCGAGACCTGTACAATGTCGCAATACAACGAGCAGGTAAATCGATATATATGGCGTATTAGCAAGAAAAATATGTTAAAATTTTGTCTCATTTCTCACCTTCAGGTGGTTCGCAACTATTGCCAAGGAACCTTTCGATATGGACCACTGCATCAGATCAGTCTGGTTGGCAAAGTGCACGAAGAGGTGGGCGGATACTTCCCAGACCTTTTGGGTCGCATTGAAATGAATCCATTTTTACGAAAGGTAAACGTACTCACATTATGTTAAATGCTAAACACACTTCATTAATCTAATTCTCTTGTCTTAGACCATGCCTTGGGCTTGTAATTCCATACTCCAAACGGATCCTCGTCAGTCGAACGATGGTCCCATCCTCTGGATCCGAGCTGGGGAGCAGTTGGTCCCCACAGCAGAGTTAAACAGCAAGACTCCACTTAAAAGGCAAAGGTTAGTTGCGTCTGGATGAATATTCCTAAAAATCATTCATTAACTCACACAATTTAATCGTAGGACTCGGATTAATGAGTTGAGAAACCTTCAATATTTGCCCCGTTTGTCGGAGGCGCGGGAGACGATGATCGAGGATCGGACCAAGGCGCATGCGGATCACGTAGGCCATGGCCACGAACGCATCACCACCGCAGCAGTTGGTGAGCTGCCTCGCATGAATATGCTATCTGAAATCGACTAATCGGCGCTATGTTTTTATTAACCGTTCCGCAGGTATACTGAAAGCCGTACACTGTGGACAAACTTACTCGCAGAACCGCATCACCAAAGACGTGGTCGCTTTTGCTGCACAGGACTTTAACACAATGGTGGAAATGCTGCAGCTGGACCTGCACGAGCCGCCAATCTCACAGTGCGTACAGTGGATCGAGGACGCCAAACTTAACCAGCTACGTCGCGAGGGCGTACGTTACGCTCGTATTCAGCTGTGCGACAATGACATATACTTTTTACCCCGCAACATAATTCACCAGTTTCGCACAGTAACGGCGGTTACGAGCGTAGGTAAGAGATCGAATGCAATTATTATACTTTTTATCGTTTCATTAAATTAAAATTATCAATCCTAAAGCTTGGCACCTGCGACTGCGACAGTATTATCCCGGCCAGGAGGTGATTAACGAGAAAAATAACCCAGTGCTGGCTGAAACACCTCACTACAAGGAAAAGCAAACGATCCTGCCAAACCCAATAAGCCACGATGAATGCGGCAAAAAGACGCCATCAAAGAGGGCACATGATGGCAGGACTAAGAAGAAACTTATTGACCTCGACGGCAAGGAGCGTCGATCCAGTGAGAGCAGCATCGATGAGCAGCCAGCTGCAGGAAGTTCCTCGCCGAGCCAAAATCAGGAAACCAACAGCAACAGCAGCAGTCAGAGCGGCGCTAGTGGGGCTAGCACACCCAAAAAGAAGACCAGCAAGGATGACTCCAAGATAGATATGCGGAAAATGGTTCTGGAGCACAAATATAAGCTCACCAAAGCGGCGGTAGTTGAGACTCCTGAGAAGGAGAAGCTAAAAAAGGATAAAGAGAAGGAAAAGTCTAGGGAGAAGGATAGAGACAAGGAAAAGGAAAGAAGCAAAGAAAAGGAGAAGGAAAAAGAAAAAGAAAGGAAAATCGAAACTCCGAAAAAACATGCAACGCCAGCAAAGAGCTCTTTGAGTGAGCCCTCGCCCGCCAAAATTCCCAGATTAAACAGTGACACAGCTCCCAATGCTTCAGATCCCACAGTTGTTGCTACAGCAGCTCCTGCCCCAAAATCTATAGCCACACCCCCTTCTGCACCACCTATTTGCACTATTCCTGTAGCTGCGCCGCCTATCCTATCGGGACTGCCACCGCCACTTGTGCCTCAGACGCCTTTCATTCATCGTCTAAATCAAAAAGAGCCCGAGATCAAGATAGAAGTGAAGATTGTTTCCGACTGTAAAAGTGATATCAGTACCTCCAATCCAGCTCTATCAGCAACAGCGCCACCACCTCCGCCGCCTCCGGATCCGGTTGAAGATGTGGGTAACGAGCTAATTGTGGAGAGCACACCCCAATTGATTGTTGATCACGAAGAGGAGGTCTCTGAAGTGTGTTCCGAGGAGATTGTGGAGATGGATATACCGATTCCAAAAGAACCAGCCCCCGCTGTTGCTTCTACATCATTGCCTAATACTTCTTCACCACTTATAAGTGCTCACTCCACTCTGGCTCCTCCACCCA